CCTAGGGAGTGGCAAAGCCAGCTTTGCTTATGTTGAGCTCAGTGCATGGAGAAGAACTGGGAAGCTCTGTCTTGGGTGTCACGGCCCTGCTTGGTGATGTTCAAGAACCTTTTGAGATGTTGTACAGGGGTAACTCCATCAGCCCTTTAGAAGAACAGGTGGCACCGAGGGACCATTTCTCCCACATCATTCTCATTTCGCAGGTCAAGGGAGGTGATTCTGCCTCTGCTCTGCTCTGGTGAGACCTCACCTGGAGTACTGCGTCCAGCTCTGGAGCCCTCAGCACAAGAAAGACATGGAACTGTTGGAGCGGGTCCAAAGGAGGGCTACAAAAATGATCTGAGGGCTGGAGCACCTCTCCTGTGAAGACAGGCTGAGAGAGTTGGGGTTGTTCAGCCTGGAGGAGAGAAGGCTGCAGGGAGACCTGATTGCGGCCTTTCAGTACTTAAAGGGAGCCTATAGGAAAGACGGGGAAAATCTTTTTAGTAGGGCCAGCTGTGACAGGACAAGGGGTAATGGTTTTAAACTAAAGCAGGGTAGGTTTAGACTGGATATAAGGAAGAAATTCTTTACAATGAGGGTGGTGAAACTGGAACAGGTTGACCCAGAGAGATAGTGGAAACCCCATCCCTGGAAACATTCAAGGCCAGGTTGGACAGGGCTCTGAGCAACCTGATCCAGCTGAAGATGTCCCTCCCCACTGCAGGGGGGTTGGACTAGATGAACTCTAAAGGTCCCTTCCAACCCAAAACATTGTACAATTCTATGATTTTCATGTCACCCCACAGAAATGTCAGCACTAACACAGCACCTGCAGCCACCACACACTGCCTCCCCTGCCCACCTGGAGGACCTCAGGCAAAACTGCCCCCACCTCCCTGGTGCCTGGGGCTCCTGAAACCCGCACTGCTTTTGCCCATGTGTGGTTTCAGAGGAGGGAACGGGCAAGCTGCCAGCACCAAAAAGTCCCTCTGACTTGGCTTGGACTGCACCCTGTGTGTCCCAGGTGGTGCAAGCCACAAAACGGGAGCGCGGACTGAACAGATAATTTTTATCCTCCTCAAAGACTTCTAATTTCTGCCTGGGAGACTCTCATCAAGTCAGGGAGGCTTTAGGCCTTGTCAGAAGAAAAGAAATATTGGAGTATTGGGGTTCAGGGCAAAATGAAGTGCCCACTCTGTGCACAGCTGTGGATTAGACTACCAATGGCCAGGTACAGATCTATTCCTATACAGGACCAATTATAAAAATGGAGCCCTTAGATACTGTCACAGCAAGCAGCAAACCCCAGTAACTGATGCTAGGTTAGCTCTGGCCAGGCATGCCATTAGCATAAGCCCCCATCAGCAGCCTCGTGTTAACTGGGGAGGAAATGTCCCAATCTGAGCCACTGACAGATTTAAAAAAAAAAAAGAACATTATCTTCTCTGTGATGTCTGCTGGCAGGAGATGTTAAACCACTTATTTATAACTATCTTCCCAAAATGCTCCCCTGCTTGGAAGCCAAACTACAAATCCTGTTTGGTTTGTTGTCTTTAACCAAAGGATGCCGGTATTCCTGCTTCCAGCTGGCAAAAAGGCTTGGAGCCAGTGCCAGGCTTTGGTGGGAATAGACTTGGCTTTCAAGGCATGCTAACACAGACCCAGGAAGGCAGCCTTTCATCAGGCAGAGAGCAAAGTTTCTGGAGTCAGGAGGAGCAAAGATGAGGCAGCAGACGGGAGTCACGGGCAAGCCAGAGCAGTGGGCTGTGTCCTGGGGAGGGACGAGAGCCTCGGCATTGCAGGGAGGGAAGGACTGGGGGAAGAGACAGGCAGGAGATTCACCTCGGCAGTTTGGTAAGACAGATCCCATCACCTGCAGGAAGGGAGGCGGCTCAGGTGCTGCCCCGATGCTCTATCAGACACCACGGTGAGGTCCAGCCCCGGCACCTCGAGCACCTCCCTGCTGCCCTGAGCCCCAGCGGCCGCGGGCAGGCAGCAAAGGCAGCGCCTGCGGGTGCTGGGGCTGCTGAGAAGCTGACAGCAAGGCCTGACAATTTACACAGAGTGCTATAAAGCAGGCACCCGCAAACACAGGAACACGTAGAGAGGCGATGCGCAACAGGATGCGGCCCTCGGGGTAGAGAGGATTTTTGGGGAATGCCCAGGCTAGCAGAGGAGACCACCTCTGTGCCAGGGCCAGCTCAAGTCAGTTTAGTCACTGGATCCCGTATTTAAACTTGCCTTTGATGTAATTCTGTTAGTAAACACAATATACTCTTCGTTACCATTTTATTGTGTTTGTTTTGCTTTTTATAGGGTTTCTATTCCATTCACTTAGGCCTGAGTATTATAGTGACATGAATGTTTTATGAGATACACTTCATCTAGCTTATTTAAGAAAATGACATCCAAGTAGTTTTCAAACCAAACAGCCTCACGGCCGGTTAGCATAGCACTTCCCGCTGGAAAGCCCAGGGAGCAGAAGGGCGGCAGCAATGGCACTCGCTGCAGGAGGGGTCGGTGCTGGCGCAGAGGGAGCACATGGGGCCCCAGCGGTGGAGGGCGCAGGGCTGGGGCGGCTGGGCTGTCGGAACGGGGTGGCTGCAGCAGCAGCAGGCGGCCAGTGCCAGGTGGAACCGTGTGCCCCAGGTGCAAAAGCAGCCGGGATGCCCAGCAGAAGGGCTGGGGATGGTGCGTCCTCCCTCTGCTCCTCCAATCTGATGCAGGGTGCAAACAGGGAGAGCTCCCAGGATTTCGCCTCCTTGCCACCCAGTGGGGAGCCCTTGGGGATGAAAGGCACTGTGGAAATGTCATGGGTGGTTTGGGTATGGATGCTGGGGGGGAGGATGGGGACAGAGCTGGTTTCCTTAGCATCAGCTTGGTGGGGGGTTACCCCAGACGCTCGTGGACTGAATGCACTGGGGGCTGAGCTAAATGTCTCTGAGCTTCTCACTGCAGCTGTAGGCAGGGGGAGCGACTGCACTGCTGTTAAGCCAGCAAGATTGGTAAGGGATGGGCAGGACACACACCAATGCCACCCACACTGCAGGACAAAGTGCCCTGGCCTTCCCTGCTCTGTCCTGCCGTCCCCATGGATATTCCAGGTGGGGCAAATCCTGTGCCTTGTGCTCAGACCTGCTCTTGCACAGGCAGGGGGAAACAGCTTGGCACAGTGGCTCAAAGCAATGCTGAAGACACCACCTTGGGTCTGCTGGGGCCTCAGCCTGGCTGCATGCACCTGAAATGAGCTGGGGGCAGCGCAGGGGGGGCAGCTGGAGGGCCAGAGGGAAAGGGGGTGCATCCCACCCTAGGAGCAGGGCTGCTGGCAGGATCAGCGCTGCCCGCAGGCTGGGGACAAGAACTCACTAGGCACTGGATGTCCTTCCTTGTAGCAGGACAGTGCATCCATGGGTCCAGGCACCAGGGAAGGGGGACAGATGGCTTGGATGCTACCATCTTGTGCTGCTGCTCAGAAGGGGACAACCACTGGTTTTTGTCCTTGACTGTGGTAGCTGGGAAAGGAGAAAAAGCCTCTCTCCAAGGCACTGGAGGGCTTTCCTTGGAAGAGTGTGCAGGTTGGGTCTTATCTCAATGGCTTTGTGCGATGGCACCTAGCTCATGTGGTTCTCCAGGACAGTAGTATCACCCTGCTGTTTCAAAGAGCCCTTTCTGCTGTTCTCCCATGGTGCTGAGGATGCTCAGCTGCATCTTTTCACCAGGGGCAGGGAGGTACCTGGGGGCCGACTGTCCCCTGACTCACTCCCACAGGTGGCAGTGGCCCCTGCTGTGTCCCACAGGAAATAGCCTGCACCTGAGCTGGCCTGAGCCAACATTGCTGCTGCCCTGGTGCACCGGAGCTGGGACACGCCATGAGCTGGACTTCCCTGGGCTGTGCTCCTCCCCATCAATGTGGCTTATCTGAGAGGTAGGAGCTTCTCTGCCTAAATCCACGCACAAGCAGTGAGATACTACTGAGGGCTGCTGAGTAGCCAAAGGAAGATGAATGGGAAGCTGGAAGAAGGGGCTGGGACAGAGAGGAGATGCCAAGAAGGGTAAGTTGATGGGGCTAAGAGAAAGCAATAAACCACCCATCTGAACTCTATGGCTTCCAGGCCTGATGCTGAATGCATGTGGCCTCATAGCTACTGTCTCCTCTAAGGCATTACAAAGCTCTTGTCTTGACTTCCCAACTGACCCTGAGAAAAATTATTTCTCTGGCAGGAACCACCCCACCCTCTGGTATGAATTGCCCCAAGAGTGCAAGATGGCAGGCAGACAAGACCTTGCTCACCTGTTCTTGCCTGGGGAGAGACATGGAGGAAACCAGCAGCCGGGTTTGGTAAAGACAGAGAGAAAGAAGCCCTGTAGATGCCTACAAGATGCTGCCACCCTGTTTCACCCCTGCAATGGCTCCACTGACCACAGCAGTGGTGGGTTCGCCCCCCGCAGGCATTGGGCTACAAGCTGGCCCTTGCTGCACTGCTCTCTCAAGGGACCAGCTCACCTGCACCCCCAGCCCGGGCAGTGCCACCTAGCACAAAGCACCAGGTGCTGAAGAGCAGGTGCCAGACCGGCTGACTCTGGAGGCCTCCACATCATTGATCCCAGGCCACCAGAAGCAGTCCATTGCACAAGAGGAGGAGGGGGGTGGACCGCAGCAGCAGCCCCCAGCAGAGCGGAGCATGGAATGGCAGTAGCATGCAGACCGTGGGAACGGCAGGAGGTGGAGGAGGAGCGATAGAAGCACAGATGACTTGAACAGGTGGGGGACATCAGACTCATGATGTTAGAGGCACAACTTGTAATGAACCTTTTCTTTCTTCCTTTTGTCATCAGAGACAAAGTAAAATGAAACTAAAGTATACAGGATTAAATTAAAATCACAGTTTTGTTTACATTATAAAAGAACAATCTAATAACAAATGAGCAATTATAATTAAACAAAACAGGAAAGAAGAAAGCCCTGGAGAATTCCTGCCTGGATGGTGCTCACTGATGGAAGGTTTGTGTGACTGATTTTATTGTTTGGGGATCATTCCCTTGATAGCTGACTCCCGGTTTACGTATGTGGCCCAGTAGACTAAGTTGAAAATGGCAAAGAGGACTGGAAAGACGATGCGGGACATCTTGTCTACCTTGCTGACACTGTTGTATGTCTTCTTACTCTCTGGGAGCTTCTCCTCTATGCGGGGCATCTTGTGGGGTACGTTGGTGGCAGTAGCAGTGGCAGCAGCACTCTTGGAGATGGTGGGCAGGCCAGGGTCCTTGGCAATGTTGAGGGCATACGTGGTGCCAACAATGTTGTAGGTGTTGTTAGTTTTCTTTGCTAGTGCCACTGGCTCTTTTTTCTAGGGAAGGTGGAAAAAAAAAAACATAATAGAGATGAAGTGACTGTAGAATTGCATGGAGAACATTTTGTCCTCTGAGTTTACCTGCTTGCCCAGATGAGAAGATGGAAAAGGGTGCGAGGAGCAAGAGACCAAGAAGAAGGCATTGTGGAAGGGAAGGAAGATGGGGTGAGAAGATGGCCAGAACCCATGACATCTGCTACTTGAGAGCTGCTGGAGCATAAAGACGTGCTGGACTGGGGTGGATCAGCAACTTCGTGTAAGCCTGGCATGCAGCACGTAGCACAAAGAGGTCTTGGCCTGGCAGCTAGGTCCTGCTGCAAGTCAAGTAAGTGAAGCCACATAGCTGGGTTTGTAGCGGTGTAAAAAGGTGTGTGCAGCTGCACTGCTCCAGGTGGGTGACTCCTTGACTGGCTGAGTGCTGCCAGGTCTAGGTTGCCTACTGCTGGGTCAGTATGAGTGAATGCAGTCTCAAACTATACAGACTCCTTGTTTTCTCTCTCCGCTGGGCAGTATTATCTGTTGCATGTAAGGTTCAGCCATGGAGAGAAGATGCAGGCATGTAGTCTTTAGAAAAGAATGACACCCCATGTGGTCATCCAGGGGGAAGAACTTGATTTTCCGCTTTGCTGTCCTGCTTACTGGGTCAGGTGAGAGGAGGAGACATCACAGACGATTATAGGTCTATTTTTTTTTTTTGTAGCAGAAAGCCAGTGGCTTTAAGAATGTGGGTGACAGCATCACAATATTTTTGCACCATATTACAAGGCTGTATCATACAGTGCCTCAGTGCCCTGAATACTTCATAGGAATACCTCACAATTTAACATCATGATGACCAAAATGCCTCTGGGACCCTTTAGAGCACCTCATGATGTACCCAGGTAAGATACTGAACAGATGGAAGGCATTTGCACTAGCCCTGGATTTCAGGATTGCTCAACAGAGCACTATAGGGCAGAAGGAAGCCTTTCCTCTTGCCTTCACAGCTATGGGTTGCTGCAAATCGAGGGAGGTAAGTGCACCCCTCCCACAAGGCTCCAGGAACAGCCGTGCTGTCCAGCCTGAAGGGAGGAGAGCTTGCATAGCAAATGGCAAAAGAGGCACTTACGTGTCAGACATGATGTACTGAAGGGTGATGGAAGATGCTGAAGACAGACAGTTCAGATGTTAATGAAGATGAGTGGGTGGGAAGACGGAGCTAGGAAGTCATGATAGGTGTTGCCCCCACTCTGGGGATCTTCCTGTTGCTGTCAGGGACCTGAGACCAGCTGCACTGTAGACCACATCGTATAAAGCAATCCCGGTCTACCAGGAGAAGCCCATTAAATGAAATCTATATGCAGACATCAGGCACCCTACATTTCCCAGCACTCATGTACTCCATGCGATGACCACTGCAATTACACCAAGAGCCAGCGTTAGACATAGCAATAACTCATGGTGGGAATCTAATATCTGAACTCAGAACAAGGTGTGACAGAAACACAAGGTAAGGCTCATCCAGGCATTTCCCAGGGCTGCTTGGCACAGTCTTACATGTACATGTGAAGGAACCACATACATAGTGACCGTCAGGAGAAGGGGAGAACGTGCAGCCAGCACGACCTGTCCGTCTCCTCACCCCACCCTGGAAACTGGTAGCAGGCAGCATTGCTGGGTAGCACTGGGAGCTGGAAAAGGCCAGGTTCGCCCAGTCCGCTCTGCAGAGATACTCCAAGGGCTTTAGCTTTCATGCTGTACTTCCATTTTAAACGTGTCCACAATCACCATGGATATTTCTGGTTACCTTAGGAAATGAATTTTCCACAGTGATTTTCAGAGGGACTCTAAAAGCAGACTTCTGTGCAATCTTTAAACCCCTCTCCAATAACATCACAGCCAGGCCTGCAGCCTCATAATAATGCCAGCAATTACAGAAATTACCTTGCTGTTAGGAGGAGGTCTAAATGTCTTCAGACTCCAGATCAGACTAAACCACTGATCAGACCATATTCACAGTTTTTCATGGGAGAGGGTGTTGTGATCTTTAATGATTAACTGAGCTGCTGATTTCAGCAATCATTAGAGCCATGTTTACTTGTACCCCCTGCATAGGAGGTGAACTTTTCCTGCTAAAGAGCTGACGAGAAGCAAATAAAGGACTAAAGATGTTTCACCTTCTAAAACATTTAAATATGCTTAAGTATGATTACTTGTTAACACAGCTACAGGAGGTAATAAAATAATTAATAATCAGTAATGAAATGAAAAACATATCATTCACAGAATGTAATTTGAAGTGCACTGTGATTATTTTAGTATTAATCAGACACGTTATTTGTTACAGGAGTAAGATGACTACACATGACATGACACTTTCAACCTGGGCAGCTTTTCTGCCCCAGAGCTTGGAAAGTGGATCCATCTTGCCTGGCCAAAGGCATCTGAAAACAGCAGGCTGAAACCGAGGAAAGTCAGGCAAATATGAATGCTGTGGGTGGTGGTAGCAAGCTACTGCTCCTATTAGCAAGATCCAGAGCCCCCAGGCATCAACCTGGGCTTCTCTGGACCTCAGATCAGGCTGTTCAGGTGGTGCGGAGGCTTGGGAGCCTATAGTCAGGATCTTTTCCCAGCTGCCTATGGAATCTTCTGCCCTGGTCAGAGCTGGGAGCCTGGGTAGCCTTTGGGAAGCACCGAGGGCACACAGTGCCTACCCCAAGGCACATCTGCATGCTCTGGATGTGCTCTGCTCCTAAGAAGTCAGAAGAAATGGTTCAGCCTGAAATTTATGGGGCTGTGATTTATAAATATGTGTTTCAGGGAAGATTTTGACAATCAAGCAAAGCACAATGTGCTTATCGTTGTCATCTGCAAAGTAGCCCCCAGCCTTCCCCCTGCACTTTTATCTTTGAGGAGTTCCACATCCTACTGAAACAGAAGGAAGAGTGGAAAAACGGGGAACCCCCACATCTGCTTTAAAACTTGTCCTATTTAAAACAGCCACGTTGCAAAGCAATTTCTGAGTTTATGGCCCAGTTTGGGCACGGGGAGACTGAATGACTGCACAAAGCTGTCCCTGTGCTGCTCTCCTGAGGGAAAAGCTGTGAAAGCTGGTCTAGAGATAAATATGTTCCCTGGACATTGCAGTCTGACAAGTTCCTCCACAACACATATACTGGAAAACAATAGCATTTTTATTAAATATTCCTGTTTTCAAGCCTCCCTGTTGAGGAACTAACAGCTGAACCTTTAAGTTATGGGAACTACCGGTTCTGCCTATGATCTGCTGGAGATTTAGTTCTCTGCACCTGCTCCTTGGCTAGAAATTTGGGTTGGAAGCACTATTCCTCTGACAGGCTGCACTGAAGGTCACCATCACTAGTATCTGCAGTCCTTGAGAAATGCAGGATAATTCTGTTTTCAAGCCTCCCTGTTGAGGAACTAACAGCTGAACCTTTAAGTTATGGGAACTACCGGTTCTGCCTATGATCTGCTGGAGATTTAGTTCTCTGCACCTGCTCCTTGGCTAGAAATTTGGGTTGGAAGCACTATTCCTCTGACAGGCTGCACTGAAGGTCACCATCACTAGTATCTGCAGTCCTTGAGAAATGCAGGATCCCTGCCACTGCCATTCTAGAGAAAAGTCACTTTAATGACTTCCAAGCAGCTCTAGTCTCTGACATACTTGTATCCTATCATTCAAAGCTCAGCAACTGCAGTTGCTGTTCCAGCAAACATGCCACTCCTTCCTCGTGCCAGCCAAAGTTCCCCTCTGCAGCATGCCAGAGACTTGATCCTACCAGAGAACAGCAGCAAAGGGTTGTACACTGTCCCCTGAGCAGAGCCAAAGGCTCCAAACAACGCAGTCCTGCATTAACAAGCAGGCTACACCAACGCCAGGTTACTGTCAGCTGCTGGTGTTACCTTTGGCACCACTCATCCCTCCCATCTCTTCATTCAGATTATGTGGGACTGAGCCCACGCAGATACTGTTGAGAGAAAGAGGGTGAAATGTTGTTGAAGAATGATACATGGGCTCTAGGGAAGATGCTGAGAACATAAATCACTTGCAGTGCTGTAGGGAGCTGCAGGTGATTGCAAGTGCAGTAGGACAAAGCACACATGGACTGCAGAGGATGGTTGGCAAGAGAAAGTCCCAGCAAAAATGTATTTACCATAGTGAGTCTGTAAGACTTCAGACTGGTTGAAAATGGTGGCCTGTCATGGTTGTTTCTAGTTCCTCTCTGTTGGCAAGGAGGGAATTGAAACAAAGATGCCACAAATGGAAAGAAACAAAGGAGAAAGAAGAATGATTCCCAGGTGACCTGGATCAAGGGGCAAACTTCAGAATTGCTGAAGAGTAGCCTGGACAAAAAGCTAGGCTTCACCCAGTTTGTGAAAAGACACCCAGTGTAACTGGCAAGCATGCCCGTTACTTCCAAAATAAAAGAAAGAAACCCATGATGATCATATCAACAGGGAGGTTTGGAGGATGCTTTTTGAGGATACTTTCTCTTAGTGAAAAGACATGTGAAAAGTACATACAAAGCCTGGACCTAACCTTCTCACCATGCACTAAAGGATTATTGTCTTAAGGATGAGAAGGATAAAGATCCAGCACTATTCCTCCATCCGAAGTGTGTTCTTCCTTGTTCTCATGTGTCTGACTCCAGCTACTTGTATTGGTTTTGTTGCTTCTTGCCACTCAGGATTTCAGGGCAATGTCATACAAGCACAACTATGGAGCTAAACCAGATTTTATGCATAGACATGGTGCTGCAGGTGGAAGTGGGTTTAAAGTAAGCATCTCCCAGGTATCCAAAGCATCTTCCATCCTGAGGAACAGACAGCACTTTTATGCAGGGAACTCCCTTGTGAATGTCATCCTTGCAGATTTCATGTGTTTCCCAGTCAATGGTTGTGTCTCTGCATCTTCACTGTAACAGTCACTCAAGAAATGACCTTGTTGCCTCCAGAGATGCCCATTGCTATGGTTGGGATGGATGGGATGCAATGGATCTCACTGTTCAGACACAGCCCTTCTGTCCTGAAGTGGATCATTTTAACAAGATATTTTGAGGATGCTGGAAATAGTGAGCTTTGCTGGCTACTGAAAGGACTCATCTTTCAACCTCCTTGGCCTCTCTCTCCTCCCTAACTACTGCCATCTCCCACCTTCACCCTGATGATGTTTTTTTAAAAATCATCTTTACTAACAGGTTTTCTGCATTGGATCCAGATATCTCTCTCCAGTTTGATCCGCACACCTAGGTTGGTTGCAGTCACTCTGACATACTAAAAGAGTTCACTGAAATTCATCCACAATTAGCAATTACTGGTGGTAGGCAGGAAGGGCTTGGTAAATCTTTGGGTCCAAGAAGCATTAGCCAGAGTGCACACTAAAGGGAGTTTTTGGTGACATCTGCAGTGATATCTGCCTGCCTTTCACTAGAGAACTGCAGAGAATGTGCAGAGTAGCTCCCAGCTAGAACCAGAACCTAACTGTGGCTATAGCAAGGACAACATCATGATCATTTATGAAGCAGAGATCAATGATTCACCAGGATCAGCCCATCATGTTAGATTCTACATAGAAAAATGCTCTGTTCCCCATCTGAACCAATGGGTTGGCTGAAGGGGAGGAAGAAAGAATAGAACCAGCCCTGAGGGAATGAATGTGCTGGGAGTTCCTGTCAGCAACCAGCAGCTTTTGCAAGGTAGTGATTTCTTTCAAATGGGATGGGGAGCATTGCTGCTGCCTACATTTGAGGTGAGGGAAGGGCTGATGCTTATTGATTTTTTTTTCATGTTCACGCAAGGAAACAATCAAACCTGGAGTGAGGATCCTTGCTATTACATCAATAAAGAGCGTTCTTTTTGGCTGGGGGGAAGGCTCTCCAGAGACCACGGCTCAGTCTGGGCTTGTCACTGGTAGTTTTACTCCTGGTACAAACACTTTAAAATGACAATAGTTATTCTTCTGCCTCCTCTTTCTTTTGTGGTTTCACCACCTGGCTTGTCAATTGTTTCAAGAAGAGCTAATTAAAGGCTGAAACTGAGCCAATGAGGCACCTTCATTATGTAGCAAATTCGTTGCTTGGAAATATTCAATGGAATAAAGATGAAAAGCAAATATGGTGACACAACATCTTTCCAAGCTCCCTGAAAGCCCACCACTCTTCAGGGAGCTCTGAGCTGCAGAGACCGGGAGTAGGTTAGCTTTCCAAGATAAAGATCAGGGTTGGCTTGAAAAAGCATCCACAAATTTGAAGTCCTTCCTGATTCTCCAGCCTGATACCAATGGCAGCAATCTCACAAAGAGCACTCCCTCTGAAACATCCCTGGTCCTGCTTTGGTTTCTTGTTTGATTACCACATGCACAAACATTCTGCATGCTCTTACCCTAGTGTTTCAGCACTGTTAGTTTTACAGTGCTGGGTCAATGAATAAATTAAGGAGCATGCTGCTTCTATGACAAACTGAAGCTTTTGAGCCTTTGCTGCTTTTTTGGCTGTGCCCAGTTCACATAATTGTCCAAGGCTGTGTGAATCCTGACTTTGTACTGATTTGCCCATCCCTGAAAGGGACATGGTTGCTTTGAGGACCTGTTCTGATCCTTCGCTCATGCCAATGACCCAGGAAAGGCTTCTGTCATCTCTAGAGGCCAGATTAGCATTATTGTTCATGATGGAAGTGGAAGACTATCAACTGGCCTCCTCTGGAGCCTTTCTGCCATGAGTCTGTTGCTCAGACCACAGCTGCAAAAGCAAACAGATAGAGAGAGTCCAAGAAACACAAGAGAGAGGCGTTCAACACCCAGTGATGGCTGTGGTTCTCCAAAAGGTCTCTGTTCTCCTGATTTCACCTCCATACCAGGGAGGTGACTGGCTGTTGTCTTCTCAAAAGTTACTGCAATTCTGCCAGGTATTCGCATACAGCCCCACAACAATTTTAAACGTATTAAAATGCAAAGGAGTAAAATACAAAGGCTCCAGAACCAAGAACAAGGACAAAGCTGATTTTCAAATTGATTCAATAAATATAAACAGTAAGCAATTTCTCTGCACAGACGAGATTAAATCAGTTAGGAGGGAGGGGGCACAAGCAGGGGTAGCGGTGGCTGTCAGGAAGGAAGCTGCCAGAGAGGCTGATCCTGAGCAAGAAGGGAAAACATGGGTGATGCCAGGTGCTAATTTACTGCCAGTTGCCGTTTCTGATTGCTTGCTTCCCACCCACCCTCTTGGCCCAAGCTTACAAAGCAGCAGCTGCCGGCAGCTGTGGGCAACAGCATGAGCATTAGGCCTCCCCATTGCTGCACCATGCTCGGCTGTGCCAGAGACCTACAGTTCGGGACAGCAGCCGCAAGGGACACAGCCGAGTGGGACCATCTCTATTGGCAAGGCTGGCATCCCATGGCATATTTGGGTTTGTGTGGCATGCTAGCAACATGGAGTGGGGCATTTATGGGTTGGAGGGAGAAGAAAGGAGAGGAGAGCACTGGTGGAGCAAGACCAAAAAATGGATGCATTCATGTTTCCACCAGCGAATGGTCACGCAGAAGGAGAGAGGGAAAAGTGAGCAGTCATGCCGGGGTGGTTTTGTCCAGCTAAGCACAGCGACCAGCCCTCCAAGCCCTTCCTCCCTCGACCCTCAAGAACCGCTCCAGTTGAGACCTGAGCTGGGGACCCCAGTAAGTAGCATCCAGCCTCCCGGAGTGCTGTGGGGCTGCATGTTACCCACTCCTGGCCCCGGCGCAGCTCTCTCATGTAGCGTTTCTTTGCCATTCCCTCCTCCCTGGCCTTGGCCACAGGGCTGACCTTCATCTCTTGGGCCTCCAGTACCTTCTTGCCATCCCAAGCCCAGCTGCGCTTGGTGAAGTAGTTGACAGTGGCAAATTCGATCAGCGCAGAAAACACAAAGGCGTAACAGACGGCTATGAACCAGTCCATGGCCGTCGCGTACGCCACTTTAGGTAACGAGTTTCTTGCGCTGATGCTTAGTGTGGTCATGGTGAGGACGGTGGTGACACCTGTGGAAACACAGCAGGAAACAAGGATGGTGTGAGACCATACACTCATACCCACCCAGTTTCTCCTTAAACCACACTGTTGGCATTTCCATCATGTAAATTTAGGAGCCATCCTCTAAGCCATGTGACCCACATTACTGCTATAATTAAGGGAGTCTTACCCAGCACAAGTCTGTAGTGCAATTTATAGAATAACTAAGCCGTCCAGATTGGAAGGGAAGCCAGCTTGTCCAACCCCTGCTTGAATCAGGGCCAACTTCAGGTTGCTTAGAGCCTTCTCTGGTTCAGTCTTGAGCATCTCCAATTCATAAAACCAATGGCAAACATCTGCATTAGGATGAAATTAATCTTCCCCAAACTCCATTGACTAGATCTCTGCTCACTGTAAAAGAGTCCTAACTCATAGGTAGGCACCGCATTCAGTTCCTTATCTGCTGGTAGGGCAAGTGGCATGATGAGACCCAGCTCCCTCATGTAGAATATGCCATGGAGAAGCCTCTGGTTGCTTTGCAATAAAATAAAAATAAAACAATAACAGTAAAAAGGACAGCTAGATGGCTGTGAACTTCATGGAGGACCAGAAACTGGCCACTCATCCAATGTGGTTCTCTCAACATTTTGGAAATAGTGTCTTGTGACCTGCATGCATGGACACATTGAATCCTAGGTCCTGCTGGCTCGGCCAGGCACCTGTCAGTGGCCCAAGCTGCCAAATGAGTGTCACTACCTTAAAAAACCGATCTGTTGCAAAATGCCTTTTAAAGCTTTTTTTCATTAAAGCAAGCAACCGTTGCTATCCATTTTCCCCAATAATGTGCTTTTCAATTAAAAATGCATTAAAAACATAAAAATATTGACTAATTTTCACTTCCCTTAAGCCATACTCCTGGTAATTGCAGAGTTTCAGTAATATTGTTGACAATACTTTCTGAGGGGCAAAAACCAGGAATAAACAATTGCAGTTCTCATTATTTTCTTAATAGGAAAGCAAGGCAATTTGGGAGCAAAGACATTTTTCACTAAGGTAGGTTTTAATTTTTCAGTCAGCTCTTTCTTGCTCAGTCTGAGCTGCTACTTGAGGAAACCTGTCTAATTGCACATCTCAGGATAACATGGGAGGGAATCAAATACCCTCAGAGAGGGCTTGCTCCTGGTGTCGGGAGTGCAGAGACACTCTAGAACCGATGCAGATGTAAGAGTCTGCCTGGGGCATGGACAGACACGGGGGCCGGGCGTGCGCTCTGCGGGGTTTAGCTGCAAATGATTCACAGATGGATGAGTGAGAAAAGTTCCTTTGTGGCTCTCTGTATGCCAGAACTTATCCTGTTTTCCACGTGATTTCTGTCTGAGACCCCTCTTTTCCATTCTGCTGCATGAAAACACCAGAAAGTGGGTGCTAAGGGGCTGTATCCCCTCTTCTTCATGGTTATCACTGTTCAGCACAGCTCTTGTAGTCTGGATTGCACAAACCAGTTTGCTCATACTAACCACCCAGCTCCCAGCTGCTGCACTCAGCCCTGGGGATCACTGTAGAATTTGCATCACTGGGGAAGGGAAGGCAACCCGGTGCTAATGGGGAGAAGCTGGGGTCAACCATAAGTTTTAAAACATGTTCATGACCTACATTTCACAAGCCCCACTGAACACAAAAACCATAACGATTGCCATAACGTTCATTTAGGAGGGTGCAGAACCACCTGCGACCCTCCCTGCATCTCATTTCAGTCTTCAACACAGGAACAAGGTCCAAGCTGGCAGAGAGGGTCCAGAAAAGAGGGCATCAGCCTTGTTGGGTTTGTGGGAGTATTTCTATCACGACTCTTGCTACAGAGAAAATGCTTCATGGTCTTTGAAACCACACCACTTTCCATCTTATTCAAAAACACAAGCAGGTGGTGCCATAGATCCCCTCTCTGCTTGGTGACTTTTGTCCAATACACTATCTGTTAAGCGGTATCTGCTGGGCACTGTTATTTCCAGAAAATGCTGTCCTGCAGCATCACACCTGGTCTGTAAGCATGTGTATGTAGATCCTGAAGTAAAGGTCTGGGCAGGAAAGCACAAAGCAGTTGTGTTATTAAATGTTTGTAGAGGCTATTAATATATGTGCAATGCTAGCCTGACACTTTGCCTCGGAGAGAGGATCTGAAACCAGCTGAAGAAAATAATAACAGTATATTTACCATGCAGTTATACTGCCTCAGCCCAGTGGAGCTCTGACCAGGGGCACATTAGCAATTTCAGAGACAGAGCTTTAAATGCCTCCCCATGTATTTATCCTCTCATCAACTCAAAAGCCAATATAGATAAGCAGACACAGCCAAATGCATATAAATAGATGATCAATACCTTGATTGCTGTTAATATTTATGGCTTGGCTTGTAGCAGAAACATGGACAGGAGTATTTTTGCAGTGATTCAGTGGAAGCAGGGGCACTGGGAAGACACTGAGAGCTATTGTGGGAAATGGCCAGCAGCTTCACTGATGCCGGTCAAGGCCCGGAGAAGACCAGCTCTGATGCTCAGTCTATTTCCCATCATTTGTGGTGCCTTTCTCCCCCAACCTGAGAGGATGCCCCCGTGCTCCCAGACTCACCAAAAACCGTTCGGGCAGGAACAGACTCCCTGTTAAGCCAGAAGGAGACCTGGGACAGGATGACCGTCATAATGCAGGGTAGGTAGGTCTGGATCACAAAGTACCCAATCTTCCTCTTGAGGTGGAAGTGTGTGGTCATGACAACATACTCCCCTGCAGAGACAGCCGGTTAGAGATGCTGAGCCACCGATGCTTTCCAGGACGGGGCCAGCTGACCACCAATCATCTCTAAACCACTAAAGATCTGTCCTGAACAAACTTTCAAGTTCTCAGATGAAATTGCAGCGTGTCACACTCTTACTGGCTGGCATGCCCTGGTATCTTACAGTACTGCAGCCCACCCTAACAGCCATGCGAAGGAGGGGTGCATGCTGCAGCATGCGGTCGGCAGTGACTTCGCATGTCCTACACGTGCACACACGACTGCTGTGCCACGCCAGGTGCGCACCCCAGTGTAGCCTAGGTGACTTCCATGTGGCATTTGTCCTTTCAGATCACTTCTCTGGAGACTTCTTTAATGCGCTACAAAACGGTTGTGGGATAAAGGCAAATCAACGCTAATAAACTGCTGGGCAATAGGCTTTCCCTTTTTCACCTCAGGCACAAGACACCTCTGGGGGTCTCTCCCGACCCAGCTCCCATCCCTTTTCTGCTCCAGCCCAGGGAGTCACATTGTGGGTAACATCCCTTAAGCCTAGAGAGATGCTAACAGTGCTTCAGTAGGATTTCAGGACAAAGGATTTTATTTTCTCTGACAATCCTGAAAATATTCCACCTTTCCTCACTGTAACCATCTCAAAATTCAGGGCAAGTTCTGTCGTTAAAGGTCTGGGCTGTAAACCAAAGAAGCAGCTGTCCCTATTTTCCCTCTATGCCCTATTCCTCCACTCAAAGCTTTGGATCTTTTGTTGCATTATTGTGCCTTTTTGTTGTGAGCATGGCTCTACTAAATCATTACACACAGGAGCCTTTAGCAGCTTTCTTGCCACTTCAGGTTATTCATCTGTACATTTTACTACAACTTAAGTAGAGATATGGGCCAGATATTATGACATTTAGTTCCCTGGACTCCCCACATTTCCCCAAGGGAGGTGATATGAGTTGTTACAGACAGACACTATTAAAATCAAGTGCACCAGAGAGGAAATATCCTCAAATGAGAGAGCTACTGGTGCATACAGGGGAAAAAAAAAAAAAAAGAAAATAAAAAAAAGAAAAATGAGAGATACACATGAGATAACAGAAGCTATCAGTACCTGGATTCAGAGGGGAAAGGAGGAGCAGCAGATGGGAGAGAAAGATGATTAATATTGGTCATTAATCAGAGGAAACATTTGTTTGGGATAATCTTCTATTAGCTATGATAATATTTGTGTGAGCAGATGCAGTGAAAATCACACTGAACATTATGTTACACCCGTCTCCCCTGCCCACAATGCTCTCCTGAGGGACTGGAAAGGGATCCAAGACAAATGAACCCACAGCTGGACAAGGTGGGGCAAATTTTCCACACAACAAATCATTTTTAGATGCTTGAAATTTTCTAGAGGTTATGGGTGATAAGGCTCTTTCAGTGGAAACCACTAAAAGCTAAACCCTTTACTGCCTCTTGGTGACTGTTCCAGCTGTCCCCAGCCATACTCTCCAACAGCACGTGGCTTGGGAAGTACTGTGGTGCTCACTGCCCACAGGCACTGCCTCTATAATTATTCCAAACAGTGGCATTCAAAGCCCATGTGCCCATCTCATCCTACAGTGTGCTCAGCCCTTGCATTGTGTTGTGATCCCACAAGTACCTGTGCTGGATCGAACCATCTCTGTCCCTACAACATGGCCCAGCAGGTCATACTGGTTCAGGCGAGATCCACCCTTCGCTACTTCCACTGATTTATCCTTCCCCAGTGTCCAGGTGTAGATCACCTCCGTCTTTGTGTAGGCATCTGTGGAGGAGAAAGAAGAATGAGGTTTGTGCTTCTGCCTGACCTAAAATACACCAAAATTAGCCTGTAGCCAAATTAATCCCTGCTGCGCATTCCTCAGAGCCACGTGGCTGAGCACAGCCAAGCATGGCCAGAGACCAAAGCAGTTCAGCAACTGTTAAATCAAACGAGCAAAAGGGAGCTGGGGTTTTCAGAAGGGAGCTGGAAAAGGGGGCAGAGAACTGCTGTTGAGAGACACACTGTCCCCTTGATGGGCTGACTCTGCAAGGGCTGGCTCCAAGCAGAGACAACATAGGAAGGTGTCCAGATCAGCAGGCTGCTGGGGCAGCAGGACAGTCACAGCCCTGCCACTCCAGGGTCTGGGAGAGTTGTGCTGGCAGCAGCTGGCGAGAAAGGCCAAGTGTAAGTGAGGCTGAATTTTATGGTAAGGAGAAAAAGTGAAAAATCTTTACCCTCACTCAGAAGCAACCCTCTCCAAGCCTCTCAGCTTTGGAGGTGGTGCGCCCTCCCACCAAGAGGCTTTTTCCCCTGCATGACCCTGTGTTTGCCAGCCCCCAGGCCAATCCACCAGGCAGCGAGGGAGGGCAGTGCTGAGAAAAGCCTGCCCACACATTGCAAGAGAAACAGCAGGCAAATGCTGCTGGACTGCTGCGTGGGGTGGTGCCGGGCTCAGGGCCAGGACATCCCTCCAGGGGCTTGCAAGTTCCCCCCTCTACCCCACCTACCCCCCTCCCCATATGCAAACACCTCTCTCTGACACACACCGTCACCATCTCCTTCACAAACCTTTGTGACCAAAGCCCTGCTTGCCCTCGTAGCCACACCCTTTCCCAACAGTGCCCGCACGCTCTTGGTTTTGCCAGTCCTATGGTATCCAGAAACTGAGTCTCTCCAGACTCTGTTAGGAGCTACTTCTCCCCATAATGCCCAAGCTTCCTGTCCATACTCACTCTGCACCAGTTTTTAGGCAAAAACAAAGTTCACTAAAACAAGTATTTAATTCATTTCTTCGAGCAGCTTCTCCTATTAAGACAGTAAGGAATTCTTTGGCTGGGGTCAGATCAAGCAATGGGTCAGTGTACTACAGAAATGTCTCAGCTCCTGCTTTGTGGAATATCACGTCCTAAGTCAACCACATTTCTCTGGTTGTTTTAAAACAACCACCGTTATCCCTGCACTGTAGGTTTTGGCAAATCTGTTAAATACTAAGCAGGCACTGTGCAAAGTCGTGGGAGTGGTTTTGATGATCAGCCAATGTTTCTCAGCATGCCAGCGTGCTGCCTAAGCACTTCTGATGCAGGCTGGCACCTCACACCCGATGTGCAATGCTCTGCTTTTCCAACCCCTCCTTCCAGCTCTCAACATGGTGCTGGAGACCTCCATCCTCCTTCAGGCTTAGCTTTGTACAGCTCTGCCAATGCTCTTCCACCTTGATGGGCAGCACCTTCTGCTCTGGCAGTCATGGTTCACCCACTGCCAGTCTACAAGGAAACTTGCCCACAGTTTCATTGCCATCATCCCTGAAAACACAGTTGTGTACATATCTTGTTGTCTGGGACAGAAGCTTATCTGGTGCCATGTAGGCATGGCACAGAGATGCTTGGAACATATTTAATACTATGAAGCTGTTCTGCTCAATGCCTCACTTGCAATGCAGTCTAGTCCAATCCAAACAAGGACAGCTCTTTAACATTTAGTGGAGCTGGTAACTTCAGCAGCACCTTCTGCTAGCCTAGTCTCAGACAGCTGCTGAACAAATGTCCTATGACTGCCTCGGAAACAGTTGTTTTGTGCTGTGTACATCCATCTTCTAGGGAGCGAGGTGATGGGTAAAGCCATCACCTTCACTGCACTTGGTCCAAGAAATTATGCAGGTGGGCAGCAGAAGCCATCTGAAACGCCTGATGCTGTTACTTCTGCAAGCTCTCTGCCTTCCCTCTTTTGGTGCCTGCCACGGTGGCACAGAGACAGGAGGCCACTGATGACCTGTTCAGGTTGTGGGGATCACTGGAAGGTGGCAAATTCAGCTATCCCTTGAACAGCAAGCATCTGGCCCTGGCATTGTCCTACTTACAAATCTGACCCACTCTAAGCTTCTTGCAAATGAGTAGCTTCCAGCTGTCGTGGCTTTTTGGTGCAAACACTAGTTTAATCCTACTCCAACACAGGAGAGGTGAGCTCAGATGCTCTGTGCATGGGTGCTTTAGAAAGAGCCATACTAATGTTAATCAGGGGCAGCTGTCTGAGCTGCTTGTGCCAAAACTCTCATCATTCAGAGGCCAAATCAGTAAAAACACCCAGAAGAACCCCAAAGGGTGGCCCAGCAGAAATATGCACATTAATCTCTTTTCCTCACCAAGAAACATTGTAAGCAATCAGATGTGGAGTAATCTGCCTTCCTGCAAATCCTGTAATAATCCCAGAGTTTAGGCCTGAGGTATGAGATTTTATATCCCTCCTCACAAGGTCAATTAACATTAATAATTCATCCTTCTCTAAGGCTTGCTATTTTACTGGCCTTAGTGATGTCTTGTGGCAATGAGTTCCACATTAATTAGGTGCTGCCTAAGAAATAACTTTATTTTAGTAGTTTTGAATAATCTAGTTTCATGGATGCATTTTGTCATGAGGCAGAGAGGCAGATGCACATGATAAACACGATTTCTTCTGGTGTCAATCAAACTTTTGAACTTTTGCCTTAGTTAACTCCCAAATGGCCACAGGAAGGAAGTATCAGTTTAGAAAGGTCATGATTTCTCTGTTTTCTTAGAGTCCAAAAGGGAGATTACTGGTGGGGGCTCATTCTTTAGTTGGAGGTGGGTAACTCTTCTATCTAACACAAACATAGACTGAGAGTGGTGCTCAGTTCATTGGACCTGGAGGAGACTCCAGGCAGGACAGGGCTAGGAAATTTATTTCCACATCATGGTGGACCAGTGGCTTGGAATTTGGTTTGCACTCACTTTAGGAACAAAACCAAAATAAATTTAACTTGCATATGGGAGACCAGAGGGGACCTGTTCCTAGGCAGGGTATGGGAAGCCCAGGCAGATGACCAGCTGCAAGCCTGGGAGGCTGGGAACAGCTTTCAACTCACCAGCAGCCTGCAAATCTTCCCTAAATCAGGACCCTTGGGTGTTGGGACTGAGATTCCCAGAGTTTCCAAGCCTTTTACTTGAGAGCAGCCTGCCTAAGAGACTGAAGAGGAGCAAGGGGTTTGTAAGCTCCATTGGAGCACAGAGCCAAAGCAACTGGAGATTTCAGGCAGAAGTGATGTAGGGAAGCTGGACAGGACACTAGCAACAGACACCACTGCTATCTTCCCAAGTCTGTCCCCCCAGGACAACCTTGTGATGAAGGAAAAGCATCTCTGAATTTTCCACCAACGCCGTCTTGCTGAGGCAGTGCTGAAGAGGCAACACTGCCCACAGAAGGCAGGGAGGGTCATGTGAAGCTGCTCTTCCCAATTCCCCAATAAAATTACAGCAAAACCATAGGTGTCCAACCAATGCTGTGAGCCTGAAGTGACCACAGATTTGCTTGCTGCCCATTTCTGATGATGGTAGGAATTGCATATATGAGATACCAGAAACAAATTTTTGATCACATTATCATTAGCAATAATTAATAACACTGTTACTAAAATACTGGAAAACAATAGCCACACAAAGGAGTGTTCTTTAGCTCTGTACCCAGCTCCTTGCAGAGGCTGATCAGGGTACTTACAGCTCCCAAATTTCAGCGGGCAGGCATGCACATCCATTGGGAAGTCCTCCAAGTGCATGGGGCACTCTGCGTGAATCGTCAGCCTACAAGACAAAACACAGGGCATGATCAGAAGGACGCGGCTGTAGAGGCTCCCACCTGGCCCTTCTGCCATGGCATCTTTGCCCTGCATCCACCAAAGGCGATAAAGGCCTCAGTGCAGTCACTAACCTCTGGGTCTCCGGGCAGAAGGCCATCAGCTGTGGAGAGAACAGCAGGACACAGATCTGGCCACCTTTCCTATGGTATAAACTCAAGCTGACTGGCTGAGTTCATCTTTATCCACTCAGTGCAATCAGAAAACCTGCCAAAGCCTAGACTTCTATTTGCTTATGCACTGTGCACAAAGAGCTCATTAATGCCTGGGACCAGGGGACATCTCATGGACCATGCTGGAAAACAGAGGAAAGGGGCTTCCAGGCAACATGGCCTGTGTCTTCCCAGTGGTCTGGAAAGAGCCAAGGGCTGGCAGATTGTCCAGTCAGAAAGCCACAGTGCAAAAGTCAGCCAGAGCCATGAAGTCACAGGTGTTGCACCAGAGCCCTGTTGATGTGGGGCATGGCATCCCATGCTGGTAGCACAGCAGAGGATGCTGCGGGCAGGTGCAGAACTGTGTCCTGGGGCTGTTTGGGGGGGGTGCAGGACAACTCTTGGGCTTTACGCATCCACCAAATCCCAGTAGGATACCTCTTCAGAAAGTGGTTTTGTGAGGGAGGCACAACCATAAAAGCAGCGTGCTGCAGAACATGGGGCCAGGCATAAAAAGATCCATTATAAAAAGCTCTAAAAAAGGTAGCTCTAAGCTCGTGTTCCTTCCTGAAGTACTGCAAAGCCTGCAGCGGGGAGGGTGAGGCGGGGAGCCAGGACCGACAGCTTCCCAGGAGATGTCTAATGCGATCTTCTCTGAAGGAACCATTTGTAGAAAAAAGGACCCGCTTCTGATGGCTCGGCAAGATAACAAATAAACCGTGACAGGAGCAGCAGGTGGATGCAAAGGGCAAGTGCACAGACCTAAGGCTGAAGGTGGCTTGTGGAAAACTTAGGTTGAGAAGCACAGTGGAAGATTCTACTGAGGTGTTTTCCTTCAGCTGGAAAAACATTCAGCTAAGTTATTCTTCACAGAAAATATTGAGGCTTAGTCAAATGCAAAACAAACCCTGAAAAAAATAATGGGTTCAGATTTTGTTTGCTAAAAGCAAAGAAAGAAAAAAAAGAAATAAAAGAAAGATGAAAGATATTTCTTTCAGGTGGACAAACCTTAAATGATTCTACAAAAAAATGAGGGCTATTTTTTAAACTTGGCATAAAAAAATTTGGTGGACAAAACCAAGCACTTCACCAATTGCTCTATAAACCCTGTGGGGAAATAAAGCAGAATCACTGTGGCTTGGAGGTGGCAGCGATGGTGGCTACAGGCGGCAGATGGTGCTGTGACAGGAGGACACCAGTACAAGGAGGGACGGAGCAGCAGCAAACTCCTCCACAGCTGCTCCGTGCTGGCTGCGAGAACAGCCCAGGCTGCGCTGGGAACTCTCCACCGGCTGTGAATTTTGCTCTGCCAGGTAAGGAAATGAACCTTGCGATTTCAGACCCACCTCCAGCTTCATCTGCTTCTTTCAGAGGGTCTGTGAAAGCTAGCATCCCCGTGAGAGACAGGCAGAGGTATTAAATCAAAAAGTGGAGGAGCAGAGCTGGAAGCTGCCGTAACTTCAATGGGGCAGGCTGGGTGGCCAAAACCCTCCTGCGTGACCCACAGACCCTGCAGCACCCACAGCAGGGGTTTAAATCCCAGTAAACCCAGCCTTTGGGAATGTCTGGGAGGTGAGGCATGTGACCCCTTTGCAGATCACACCGTGGGGAAATCGACACCTTATTCTTGTATGAGCTGGCAAAGGAAGGCAGTGAGTTTCCTACAGACCTTCTGAACCCAGACCCACAGTGTTTCAGTGGTACCCTCCTCCTCCTTAATGCAGCAGCAGCACATACTCATTTCTGCTGTTTTCCAGTGCCAGGTACAACTGCCCTGTCTCCACTGGGCACATCTGCCCCACTGTGCCCCAGGAGCTACCCCCCAGGGGCAAAAAACCCCTATAAAAGCAACTCCCAAATCAGGACAGGTTCGGTCCTGATAAACAGCCCTAGTTATTCAGCACCAGCAGGACATGGTCCCCGTATGCCCCATGCCTGCTTGCACTGAAGCCCTGAGGCTGCTGGGTCACCATTCACTGTTGGGTCCCAAGGGCTCACAGCCCAGCCGTGGCTGATGTAATGCTCCACACTCTGGCCAGGTTAATCACAGCAGGTTTATTGGGTCTATGCAGGCTGACTCCACCTCTGGTAAAGGTGGTCAGTGGATACTCCAAGAGAAGTATAAAACCTGGGTGAACTCATAGCAAACCACACCTTGCTGCCGCCTCCCAGCAGCCGGTGGCTTACAGCTTCCACGATTCAGAGGCTATATCCAGGCAACCGAGTGCACCAGAGACCAAGGACCTTTTCTACTCTGAGTCTGCCAGTCCTTACTGAATCCATATAAAGAGATAGTGACCACTATGTCCTGTAGTAACCGTTCTACCGACAAAGAGGTGATGATGACTGTCCTGCTTGCATTGTGTCTGGTCCCAGCGAGGCTTCCTCAGCCAATCCAAGAACCACTGTGTGGTCCATGTAACTTCCTTGGAAACAAATCACTTTTTCTAACTTGCTGATCTCTACTTAACCTCTTGACTGAATGTACCTGTTTTACATGAGAGAGAAGACAACCTGATCTTTCGGACTTCAAGCAAGACTCATTGAAGTCAATGAAAAGACTGACAATGATTTTGACAACCCTACAAGCACATTGTTGGAATGTTTTTTTTTCTGGACACACAAAGGACACCACAAACAAATTGTTAATTTGCTCTGATGCCTCTCTTTCGTAATCTGGATGAAGATTAGGATTTCAAGAAGCAGGTATGAAAACCTGGCAGCAAAGTGTGGACTTGACAGCCTTGCTCCTCCTCTTCTGTTTCTTTTGTGATGCTTTCTTCTGTCAGCTCAAAATTCACTTGGGGAGCTTCATGGTTGGCAAGCTTGTCACACATGTCCTCACAGATCTTACCATTCAATTCTTTCTGTGTCTTTCCCAACTGCAATGGACTTTTTGCTTCTAATATTTGCCACAGTCACTTGTGTAAAGGAAATGTTGATGCATTTCCCCTGCTTCCCTCAGCAGGCCTTTTAACCTTCCTATTCCTTCATTGGTTTCACTAATTATTATTTCAAAAGGCTCTTAGCCAGGTGTTCCCAAAGTCGGCATTTCCAAAGGATCTCTCCTCTCATCAGTGCTTTCCTTCTGATGTATCCTGAACTCCCCGAAAAACCCAGAAAGGCCTTTTTCATCTACTGTACTGTTTGCAAGTCTTGGCTGTGATCAGCAGCCACTGTGAATAAGGCTGAACGACTCAAAGGACCACAGATTATGGGTCCGATGGTTGAGTGCCATTTAGAACAGGCAGAAAGAGCCTCAGAGGGGGCCAGGATGGCAGCAGAGACCAGCTGGGCACAAGCCCTGTCCGTCCAGGCTATGGCCAACAAGAGTAAGTGTTGTCAAGCGAAGAAGGCAACTTTATACAGATGCTGGATGACTTTGTAGGTATGTGGGAATGCAGCAGTCACATTTTAGATCTAATGTGTGTTTTATTAGCTGAGCCAGTAAACAACAACACAATAAATCCATCAATAAACCACTGAAAAAGCAACCTAATCTGCCACTTCTCCACCTACAACTGAAGAAGCTTTTAAGTCTCCTGAAATTAAATAAAAGAGAAAATGCCGTATCGTTCCAGCGAGATGAATCTGGTTCAGCTGCTACAGCCAGCCAGAAGTCAGCATGTTCACAGCTACCATGTGAAGGGAATCAGCTTCCCTGACCAAGGGGAAGCAATACAGGCATTCCCCCTCCCCAGCGTTCTCCTTCGCCTGAAACTGCTTTGCTTTGCCCCCGTGCCTGCCGGGTTAAGCTGGCTCCCCAAGCTGCTCTCCCCACAACCAGAGCTCATGCATTGCTGCTTGCTCCTGCTCACCCCTCTGCCCCCTGCATCCCTCAGCCATCTTTCAACCCCCTCCTGCAGCCTCTCTTGCACACACTCATCTTTCAGAGTGCTAATTAGCAGAGGTATTTAGGTGAGCTGTGGAATCAATCACTGCTCAGGAGAGTTCCCACATTCCCCTTTTGCTCCCCCCACTGCACTGGCCTTCCCTGCTACCTCCTGTTGCTGGCGAAGGACTCTTCAGCACCATATGCTTTGCCTAATGAAACGTCAAAATGTCAAACCAAGAGGAATGTATTTCGCTTCCCAGACAATTACCGCTGCCTCTGCAGCACTTGGGTAAAGAGCCTGTTGCAGAAACGCTCATCGTTGCCCCTTACCCTGTGCAAGGGAGCTTATGGCCAGCTAGCCACAGAGGTTTTCTTCATTGCTCCGATGCCCTGTTCAGGTCCAGACATCTGAGCCCTGAAATGTCATTATAAAGCCTAAACAGCATGTGAAAAATAGCCAAGCTGCCAGCAATCACATAATCCAGCTGTTCATGTGTCCCAGGAGCTAGCAATAACTTATGCAGAACTGTCTTGAAATCAACCCCCAAACTCCTCATGTTTTCTCTTTGCTTTGCTGGCACAATGGCACCAAAAGTGGAACATCCAGGAGAGAAACCATGTTTTTCTCTTTAAAGTCATGGGAAGTCCTTTGAACTGCTCAACACAATGGCAAGAAGCGTGAATCAGGCTAAACATACCTCTCCCAGGGCTGACGGTACAACAAACCACTTCAGCTTCGTTCTCATGGTTACCAGGAGCTTAGCAAAGCCTTTGATGTGTCATTAGAGCCCCTGTTGTTACCTGCGTCGTGCTGCAGGATGAGCGAGAGGCTCAGTCCAATTTCTGGGACACAAATGTAATAATCCCTTGGTGTATGTGTGGTACAAAAACATGACAGCACCCGGCACAGCAGAACTGACTTTGTTTATGCCAGGGATATTGCTTGAGTTTTGTCCTGATTTCTCCTCTAGGAGATTCATTAATAACCACAGTCAGGCCGAATAGTGTTTACGGTTTAGGCTGTGTGAGAATCTAGGTTAGGTTTAATTGCTGGGGTTTGAGCTTGAAAGCCAAATTGCTTCTAGGATCCTTGTGCTGGATCTGAAAGCACTGAATTCACTTTGCATCCTCCGCCAGTCCCTCGAGATTTCAGCCCATGATGGTAGAAATGCAGTGAGATAAGGTGATCTCTGAAGATTTCTCCCTCCAGGGACAGCTTCCTTACAAAAGTCTGCCTGCACAAAACCAAGCCTGGAAAATAGATCATTTCTTCCTTTGGATCCACTCTGGAATCTGTAAGGCATGGAAGAGCAGGCTGTGCAAATCTCATCTCGTCTATTCATCTGCTTGCATATTTAGCAGTCTAGCTTTGGTCTGCTTGGGTCTGTTTATGCTGTTGTCTAGGATCAGCCCTGATGTGGGATGCAGCCAAATAGCGGCCAGTCCGTACTACCCAGAGGAGCTGGTGCTGGGGTGCCCCAGCTGCTCTTGCAGAAAGGAGACTGATGGTTGCACCTCCAGCCTACAGCTCTCACAAGTTGCCCAGGGGTTAAAAAAAACAGGCAGTAAAGACAACCCAAAGCCTTTGCTGGGAGAGACACTGCAAAGCTCTGTGATTTCAAAAAGCAGCCTGGGAAGCTCAAACCGCTGAGAATGCCGCAGTAGGTACAAGACTTGTTATCTGGGGTTCAACAGCCCCAGTAGGACTGCACGTGCCCTGGGTGCCTTTGCACTCAGCTTTCCCTCCTGTTCTGCCCACCCAGGGGTTCACCAATCCTCCTTCCCAAGTGCTCGTGCACTGCCACTAAGGACTTCACATTGTCTTTAGCAATACAGGTTCTTGAGGCAAAGACTTTGGGCATGCAGCTGAATGCGTCAGGCTGGCAGTTGAAGAAAACGTCCTTTAAGTGCATAACTTGAGCACATATTGTCTGGGAACCACTCTGACAATAACCACAAAGCTTTAACATGACACTCTGACAGTCGGGGTGAAGAGCAGGAGAGCTTTTTAAAGCCTGGATTTACAAAGTTGAATCCCATCGGCACAGCATTAAGCTTTCACTATTTTCATATGCTTCAAGGCCAGGAAGAACCAGAACATTATCTATGTGCCCCACGCAGTTCAAGCCAGAGAGTACATCCAGAGATTGCTGCAGCAGCTGAGTTTTTGTCTGTACCTTATGTAAATCCCCAGCTCTGACACCAGAGCTTGGAGGCCCTAGCTGGGCTTCTGTGAACTACTTGGATCTTGTAGGAGCTCCACAAACAAGACTGCAGAGGCAGGGCCACATAATAAAACTGTGCTCCCCATGCCCTCTGAGGCAGCCGGAGCAGCAGGGAAGAGGCAGAGGGATCAGTAATCCTGTCCCTTCCTCAGCAGCCAGAAGGAGGGGAATAGAGAAATGCAATTTTGTGCTGCGGTCGCAAAGGCCATCTTGTCACCCAGGTGCCAAGGCCTGAGTCAGTGATCAGATGTTTGCACCGTGACGTTGCACCGATCTGCGAGGAGGCTGTGCCGTGGCTAAAGGAAATCTCTGGACGCTCAGCTACAGCTGGTGTGCGACTCCTTGAAGCTCAGGTCAGTGATAAAGAGGCTCTCTCTAGGAGCTATAAATATTGTCACACAGGTGTAATTTTGCTGGATGCATGTGTCAGAGTTGCTGTTCCACCAGAGCAACTTCATTTATAAATGTAAGCCTTGACTAAGAGAAGTTGGCTTTCACAGCAGGATAAATAGCAAGAGACATGCCTCTAATTGCACATCAGCAGAGCTGATCCCTTGAGGATACTGGCTCGTACAAGGTAAGGGAGTAGGATATGTCTCAGGAGTCAGACTGCATGGCAATGTACCAGTCTAGACCGAGCCTGCAAGGGATCATCTGGACAGTCCTGCCAGTCCAGGGGAAATCCAGGGGAGGTCCAAGCTCACTCCCTAGTCAGCAGGACAGAGTGTGCCTCTTTGGGATTTGCACTTTCCTAGATGTGAGCTGTGTGGGGCTGAGACTGGCTTTGCGGTCCTGCTCCTTCCTTTGAGAAGGACACATGTGCATGCCCCTGGGCATGGGGCAGAACAGAAAATGTGCCACTCGGACATAAAACATGAGTTTCCTTCCAGCCCTTTCCTGGGAGAAGATTCCAAAGCACTTAACAAGGGAGGGTGATACCATCATCATAATTTTACAGGGGATTTGAGGTGTGAGTGCCTACGAGCAGTAGAGACAGGTAGGACTTGGTCTCAGCCTCAGCCTGATGCACAGTCCTGGACCATGCAGTCTGTGCCCTTGCATCTTCCTTTCTGAGCCCCCACTCAGAACACCCTGTGTAGCCCTGAGCAGGCATTTCCTTCAGCAGCAGGGAGAAGGGGAATCATCAGAACACCACGACAGACATCCCATCCTGGATGCATTGAACTGCACACCCAGAAGAGCCCTACTTTGCCCCTGACACGCTGTCCTGTGCAGCAGGCAGTGCTTTCCAGGTGGCCATCTGGCCAGTTCTAACCACATCTCCAGCATCAGACTGGTCCAATACTGCCCAGAGCCCCGCCAGATAGCTCCACACACATGGGCACAGCAGCAATCTGTGCTGGGTAAGGAAAAGATCTCCATGCTCTACAGCTCCTGGTACTGTGCAATATAACCCATTGCAAAAGGCCTGATACTCAACCTTTGGGTATCTCTGAGTGGGCTCTTCACCTCTTACAAAGCCTCAGAGGTACATTTAAGGGGGGCAGGAGCAGATGCAAAGGGAGGTCCAGACTCTCCTTCATCCCCCCCTTCTTTGGGAGACAGCTGAACTGAAAGATATGTTGAATTTATTTAAAAAATCCCATGACTCCATTTTCTTCAAGAAGCTCACTCCCAATAGCCTCATAATGCTGCCATCCTGGCACCTGCCCAGCCCTAAACGGAAAAGTAAATCCAACACTTTCTCAGTCACACAAAACTTGCTGAAGCTAATGGCTGTTTGCTGAATAAAGAGGAAGGGAAATGATATAAAAACCCTGAAATTGAGTCCTTTTTTTGCTGTACTATGCCAGTAGCTCCTATAATACTTTACAGTCAGATAATGATACAAATGGGGGGAGTGTTAGTCATGCAGTTCAGAGGGCCGGGAGCAGAACCAAACCCTTAAGTCAAGTTGGGCTTCTCCCTTCATTTACCCCATCTGCCTCAGTAACGTGAGATCACTGATGTGTGGAGACCTAAACCCCCAGGGCACTGGCAGGATTAGCTCATATTTGAGAACTGCTGCACAAAAGCAGAGCACTGTTTATCAATGTAGGCTGTAAAACTTGCTGACACTATGTAGATTCACAGCCAGCTTAACTATGAAGAGATGAAATTCTGTCTGGTCCTCAAAAAACAGAGGTGAAAGTGCAGCATCTCAGCACACAGAATGCACAATGAACCCTGTTATTAGTTAGGATCGGCTTGAAGATGGAGGCAGAGAAAATAAGTTTTGAAAACAAAGATCTACACCTTTCCCAAACCAACTGAACACCTTTCTTGTGCATATATGAGTAGCTTGTTTCATTTATAAGCTCATTCACCTCAGAAGGCAAATTAGTACATCAGCCTCAGTTGCAAACATTATTTACGTGGGTGAATAGCTTACAAGCATACAGGAATATCTGAATAGTTCCAGAACGAATGTACAATTAACCCAAAGGCGTTTCTCTTCGTGCTCTCCACCTGTTGCAGCTTAGTGATAAATATATGTACCAGGGCTGTTCTTGAGAAATCCAGAGAGGATGATGGCCCAAGTGTGGTTCCCCAACAGCGACTTGTGTTTTAGAAGGAAGGCCCCACTTGCTGGAGCTCACAGTGGGGTTGCACAGGCTGTGTCACTGCCTGCGGTCTCATGCTTCAGGGCCATCTCATGTTCAGGGCTCACACTGAGAGCTCAGCTGGGGACATTGGCTGGGTTAAACTGAGAACTTCCAATGGCCTCTCCAAACCTGGCACCTCCAAAGCACAGTTTTTAATAAGCTGGTCATTTTTTTTTCCTAATGATGTGCATTGATTTCACAGATTTGGATTTTTGATTCCATGAAGTAGGAGAAAAAAACCCCACTGTTCTCAGAAGCATGTTTCAAATGGCTCTGGTGCAACATGCTGAATGAAGACCCTGGCCCAGGAAACACAAACTCACCTCATGGTGTACAGGAGGGTGCCATTGTCCACCAGGCGCAGCAGCTTGTTGGGTGTTGTCATGTTATGGGCGACAGATTTCTTCCCATTGTGGAAAAAAGTATCAGGAGTCCAGATCTTACTGGCCAGCAGGTTGTTCAATGGAAGTATTTTCATGGGACCATCAAACTTCAGCCTTTCATCTCTCCAGGATTGCCGGAAAAAAACATCAATAGTGTATTCCTTTGTGGAGAAAGAAGAAATAAGTCTTGTTTTACTTAGCTCCTCATTAAAAACAAGCCGCTTCAAGAAATGGTAAATATTGTCTGTCATTGAGCATACTGTGATTTGGCACACCTTGGTTGACATGAAGTGTAATGCAAAAAGAAGTAGGGATTAATGGCACTTAATCTGTGGATGATAGAGGGCATTTACCACATTTTGTATAGACTTACATATGACGCCAAAATTTGCGTTTCAGTGTTTCTGACCACTGCAGACAGGCTGCAATACAGCCTACAGCGGCCAGTCCTGAGGTAGCCCTGCTGCACCACCACCTTTATCCAGCTGTTTCACGGGAGGGAACCATTGTGTGCAGCTACACGGGAATTTAAAAAGGCAAAAATAAAGTTCCTGGAGATGGAATTTGGCCAGGATACTGGTAATTATACCCCTGCTCATAAAAAAAAAAAAAAAAGTTTCATGACATTGTCTTAATGTTATTTTATTTCCCAGGCAGCCTCTAGAAAAGCATTGAATCAAGGACCTCACAAACTTGCATTACAAGATCTTGTGACTGCCTTTTCTTTTTCTTCTTTTTCCTTTCTCCTGTTTTTCCTTTTTGGTTTTTTTTTTTCCCCTTCTTTCAGCTACTGTATAAACCCATTTCCTAGGCCAAATTCCAGCTGGGGCAATTAGAAGTCATCTCTTTGAAACCCTGCAGCCAGGGCCAGCTCCTCACTTGGTGCGTGCAGCCTCAGAAACCACTTGACCAAGCAGCAAAGGCGCTATGGCTCCACAGCCACCCCAAGGCAAAATTAAATCAATCTGCGCAGTGCCTGGTATAAGGGACTGCTGTTCTCTGTGACCTGAGCCACCCCATGTCCTCTGAGGGTCAATGTCACTTACGGGAAAGTCTTCAGGCCATCAGCATGAGCTGCACCACTCATGCACCTCTACAACACACACCTCCTCTTGCTAATGAAGGATCTCGTTAGTTCATGAGCCTTTCAGAGAGATAGGGGCTTCGGAAAATCTGTCTGTCCCAGATGTTCTTCCCCTGTTGTTGCAGATTCACAGTCTTTATTTACGGGTTCCTGGAGGCTGTAGGACCAACTAAACTTATCATTGTGAGTGATTTCTTTCCTGCAGCTCTTCTCAGCAGCATTTAAAAGCTGCTGCGCATCAGTTTCTTATAGATCATAGAAATTCTTACAGGTTCTGCAGCAAATGGCAGCTGAATGAAAGCATCTCAGTAAAGAAATTAATCCCTGCTCCCTGGCCACAGAGCCACTCCTGCTCAAATGTTTCTGGACCCTGGCTGGGGGAAGGAAAGAGAAGATGCTACATTCCCATAGGCTCTGCCCTGTACAAGATATTTTGCCCCTTCATGGAAGTGATCTTCACTTTATGGCTTTAAGCTGAGTAAAGGAATGAGCTTGTGTGCAGCCCCAGGAGGTAGGTTTGGGAAAAGTCCTTAACAGGAGAAGAGCTATCTTATTCAGAACTCCCCATTCCTATTAAAAAAAAACAAACGAAGAAACAAAACTTTTATAACAATTTCCCAGGCCCTGTTTTTCTTCTTTTATGCTAAGGAATTATTCCCAAAGAAAAGAGAAGTCATGTTCAGATACTTCCTCTCCTTTCTCTACTTCTTGCCGTGAAAGCATCACTCCCAAGCTGCCCCTTCCAAGGGGTTCTGTGTTATGCTTTCACCACCTATAGAAGCGACTGAAAACATCAGTCTGTCTCCAGAGTCCATCCACCAAAGCATAAAACTCCCTTGAACTTTTCATTTTTTTAAATTTCCTGGGGACTGAGGCAAAGCTGCAAGAGCTCACTACTGAAGATTCAGGTGTACGTCAGGTCCTATCAAGCTCTACTTTCCAAACTAAACTGAAAGAGAGATTAGAAGTCCCTTGGAGCATTTCAGGGAAAAGTTCTACATGTCCTCCTCCACGCTTCATAACCAGCTGCTCTCCTCCGCTCTCCGCAGCAGCTTTACCTGCCTCTCCTCCATCATCATAATTACAGTCTCTGTCTGCATGAAGATGCGCAGGAGCGGCTTTCCATCGCAATGAGTAATGGCTGTGGGAGGGACGGGAGCGAGATCACCAGGCAGATGTGAGTGGGGAAGGAGGGACTTCCCCACTCCTAAGATGAAAGGAACCACTGCAGAAGAGCAGGCTCTCCCCATGCTTCCCGAGGAGATGGGGTTTCTCTCTCTCACGTTTCTGAGTGCATTTAGCACCAGAACGGCATGCTAAAACACATTTGCTATGCATTTGTAAAATAGATGGAACTAAAGCATGCAAAGGGGAAATAATTTATTATTCTTTAACTGTCTTCCTAATTTTAAATTCATTTTGTCAAATCACATTGCAGAGAATACCTTCCTCTTTCCAATACCTCATATTTCTTCTTCACAGTTCATTATACACGCTCCCTTAATCAAATATGCTCCACCTTGGAAGTAATTATCAGATACTCCCCAAGGGCTAAGATTGCTGAATATATTATGGGTCTCCACTGCGGTAGGAAAGCAAGCGAGATAGAGAGAGAACTCAGATGACATTAATACTCTTGGCTATGCTGACATCAAGTTAACTTCTAACCCTGGAAGGAGGGGTTTTTCCAAAGCAACATGGGGTTGTGTGATGGGGCGAGCACATCAATGAAACACAGAGATTTTATACTCCCCCAGCTCCTCCACTTGCTAGCACAGGACTGCCAGTGGGGCAGCTGAAGAGATGTTCCTGGCCATGTCAGCACAGAAAATGAAAGCCTCCCAGCTCTGGAGGGGCCATGAGAGCCACAGGACATTGCTCCTGACTGACCCAGCTGGTGAGAGCAATGCCTGCTCCCTCTCCTGAAGTGGGCTCCCTCCAAGGCCAGGACTGCCCACCACTGGCCACCAGGTCACCTCTGGGACTGGATGCACAGGAGGGTATCAGTCCTGGATGCGTTACTGTCCTCATGTGTTACCCTTGAAATGCTGAGCAACCATTAACAGCCAATTCTTCTCTGTGTGTCTGGGCGCGTGTGGAATACAAGCTGCACTGTTGAGAAAGCTCACTATTAATTATGCTCCACAGTCCTGTTTTAATTAGAAGACAAAGTGTTGTGGGAATACAAGCCCAAATTCAGACCTCAGGCCTTTTCATTAATAATTTTCCCTGAACATGTCAAAATATTGCAATGAGTTCACTCTTTTTCTTTTTTCTCTTTCACTTCCCTTCTGGTTCAAGCACTAAGGACAGTTTGATGGTGAACCATTCTCTTCTGGCACTGCCACCAAAACAGGCCAGGTACTGGCATCCTCCCTTCTTGCCAGGGAACACCCCCCTTCCTCCACACACAGTCAGGTCAAGGAAAGCCAGCTGCAGTGAAGGTGTTTGTCAGGACATGTAATAGATGTAGCATGCTATGTACAGGTCTTGGTCCCATGGGCAGACCTCCCCATTTCATTGCAAGAAAGAAAAAGACCCTAAAGCCTGTAGCATGTTTGAGCAGTGCAAAGGCATCAAACCTCCAAGGTTGCATTTGCCACATTATCAATTGTCTTCTAAAAGCCCAAACACACCTGAGGAGAATCCCTGTCCACCACTGAGTTCCCCCTGGCCTTCGAGAAGATGATGAGACACATTCATGCCCAGGCAGGCAGCTGGGATGCTTGCTCACGTTCTTGTCATTTAGGAAAATCCTGCTTTTGCCCAGATTGTCTGGGGATGAGGGTGGGACACATCCACTGTGGCTGCAGAAGAAGCCATCCCTCCCCACAAGGCGACCAGCCAGTGGCACCTACCATATCTGTGTCCGAGACAGGGCCGAAACTCGTCACGTAAATGTCTGTCTTGACTTCAGTTACGCTGTCTGGGACAAAAAAAGGGAAAAAAGCAATTAGAAAACTGAATTTGCTTGTACAGGGAAGGATTTGGATTTTGTTACACGGTGGTTTTTCCTGCCAGGCTCCTCCCTGGCAAGCCCTCAGCAAACCCGCATCGTGCTCTCTGATGTGCCCTGAACAATGGCCCGTTTTATCACTCGTAATTGGGCAAATTCATCTCTGACATATGTCTGCTGCTTTCCATGCTTACACCGAGGATGAATATATCCCACACAGCCAGACAATATGTATTTACGAAATGTAGGCGGCTGCACGATACATAATGTGGTACAGATCCACATGTTTTCAATACAGAGGTAAGCCCTGATGCTTTGAAACTCCATTAATCTGAAGTCCCTTTGTGTCTCCCAACCTGATAAACAGCCTAGCAGTATTTCACCAGTTTTAGGAAACCCCGGGTTTGTTACAGCTTGAGGCTTATCTGTATGTAAAAAGAATCAATATTCTGATTGCCTTTTACTGCCACCGTGTTTGCTGTTCTCCTAAGTGCCTCGCTCCTGGCAAGCGGCTGCTCTTGCAAGGCTGCTGCTTGCTGGCATCACACGCTCTCCTGCATCCCAGGCTGCGTTGCCCTCATGGATGCTGAACAGCAGTCTCATTGCCCCAGCAAAAAACAGAGCCCCAGTTCCTGCCCAGACTGCTGAAACCCAGGAGCAGTCTTAATCACTTGCCTTCAGGTAGATAAACTGAAGTGCTTTGCAGAACACAGGCACCAGCAGGTATTATTCATGCTGAACAGCACATACAGCTCTCATTCTTGACTTCATTATGATTTTGGCATCTTTCCTAATTGAAAGCTCTGCTGCTGTCCCATTTTGCAGGGAAATCAAGGCACGGTGATTTGCCATATTCATGGACCTATGCTCTGCCCACAGGGTTGTACTGAAAAAATGATTGATGAGGTGCCTTGAGTTTAGCACTACGTTACCATAAATCCTTACCACTTTAGGGATAGATCATGCCATTGTGCTCCTTTTGTATGGCATTAGTTGGCTCAGAGCTGCTTTCCCAATGAAAGAAACAATTTAAATCCCCAAAGAAGAGTTCATGTTTTATGCGTAGTACACCATTTTGGCTATCGCAGCAGCTTTGCAAGTAGCCTGGATGGCCCATTGCTCAATTCAGTTACGGAAATCCTTCTGTCCCCTGACAGTTATTTTGCAGTACTATGAAGCTTAGTTTTGTGCTTCAAAGTTTTGTATCCAAAAATAATATAATGCATTCTGGCAGGGTTTTCTCCTTAATGGCTAAAATATACGTATACATGTCTTTAGTTATTATGGCTGGAACGCTTCTGATGCAGCCTGTGGCTGATATTATTGTGCTATATAAGTAACCCTTGATCTCATCTTGATGTGATAAAAAGAAGGTTAAAGAGAAATATGTAGGCAGTACACTTTCTGAAACACCCAGAAGCCAACAAGACAGCATCCTGAACAAAATGAGTTACTTCTGTAAGACTTAAACACTCGGGGTATTTTCTCTGCCTCCCTCCAAACAAGTCCCCAAATGAGATGCAGAGCAGAGAAGAACATTTTATGAAGCAAGGCTCTTGCAGCTAACACATGCGGTGAGAGAAAGCTAATTATGTTTTACAGAGAACACAAACACTCTCTCCCCTCCTTTCCTCCCTTCCTGGCATTCAGTTTGCCCAAGATAAATAATTTACAGCCATAGTTATCAGATAAGGATCCATGGCTGCCCACGGCCAGCGAAGCCAGTCCTTGTGAGGTGCAGAATGAATTGTCCCCCACACCTGAGGGGGCCGAGGGTCCATGAAAGGACCCATGTTTTACAAGGTGATCCTTGGAGTCCAAGCACGAGGGAAGGGATTCAGGAAGTGATGAGGAGGTAAAAAGGCAGGACTAGTTTTGAACACCTTTTGGTACGATCCTGCTATCTTTACATCAGCCTTTATGCCCTTATCATGCTGTAACCTGTCTGTCACAGAGCTCCAGAGACCCCTTCCCACCCCTTCAATCTACTGAAAAATCCAATCAAAGACAATGGCATTAATAAATGCCATGAACTTATTAATAATTTATTAATATTAATAATTAATTACAGCCTGAGTCTGAAGAGGATCCTCCACTTCCAGACTGCAGCCATGACCCCCGGGCCAAGCCATGTGAACCCACTGAATATGGTGGAACCTCTCTGCACCTGCAAGGCAGCACCCAGTGCAGGGATGAGCCACGGGGCTGGCTTGGTCACTGGCTTATTGATATCCTTCAGCACTTAGAACATTGGGCTCCCTGCACCTTTCATGGCAAAAGCCAGACTGAACCTCCCCTGTTAATATGTGCTCCTAAGGGCAGGATTTGGCTGGGATCTGGAGGGATTTCTGAAATTAAATCATTGCTATGCAAGCAGGGATTTCAGCAGAACTGGGAAATCCAGAGATAAGTAAAACACCAGCAGAACAGAGTGAGCTCCAGCCTCAGAGATTCGCTTCCTTCGTGGTCCTACAGCCCATGAGCACCCACATGGCTTGCAGCCCTGCCCAAGCTCGTCAGCTCTGTGATGGCAAGACCTTCTCCTCCAGGGAAATCAGGAGCTACTCAGCCAGCCTCCCCGTTCCTTATCCCACACCTCCCCACCCTGAGCCTCAACAAGAAGAAACTGCATCTACTTTTGCAGCGAGAGAAAGCTGAACAAGGAGCAACTCCTGCCTCCACTCAGAGACATGGCAGGGAAATCCTTATCTCCTCCTCAACCTGCAGATGCACTCACACTGCTGCCTGGCTGTCTTGCCCATTTCACACCAAAGATATAACAATTAAGGAATGTATCATAGAGGGTTAGGTACCTTCCCTAGACCTGTTGCAGAACATTAAACAGCATTTTTCCTTTCCTAGCATCACCTGTGACTCAAAGTTTTTTTACCCGCACAAGTAAGCTGAGGGTAAGAAGCCTGCTGGGGTGGCAGGCGGATGTCACCAGTCCTGTTTTATAATTGGGGAAATGAAAAAGGAGAGACTTGGTTCAGGTAGGAAGCTGGAGCAGAGCGAGGCAGCGCCAGCTGCCCTAGGAATGATGTGGGCTGGTGCGCTAGTGCCCAGCAGAGCACTCAGTACCGCTCTTGGCACCCTGTGCAAGCACCCTCCGGCCACCTTGGTGAGCCTCCCAGTGCCCCAAGCTACTGCCACCTGAGAACCCAAAAAGCAAAAAAAAAAAGACGCTGAAGCAGTCATGAAACTAGAAGAGCAAGAGATTTTCAGGTTTGAACATGGGCAGAATTTAGAGACCCTAGTGGTGTGGCATGCCATGTTGCCAAGCCATTTGCTGGAGGCTGATTCCCTTGTCTGGGGGCTTTACCCATTTATAGGATCAGTTTATTCCCAAACTTCAGCACAACTGTGTTTCTAAAACCATCTGGAGCAAGGATGTGAGCAGAACAAGGTGCTGCAGGTCGATCAGAGCTGCCCCTTCTCCCATGCAGTACAGTCCCATCCCTGCCTGCCAGGCAATGCTGCCTTGCTCCTGCCTGCAGAAATCCCCCACAGCTGGGCAGATCTGCAATGCAAATGTGAAACAAAAGCTGAAACATCCCTTCCCACAGTGTTACCATGGCACTCCCTACACCTGCCTGCTCTTTAAAAGCTACCCCTCCTCCAAGAATTTGCTACACCACATCTGGCTGCTTGTGCAGGCAATAAACATCCCTGTTAGCTCTGTGCGGAGGGCCAGATCCTGCCACCTCACGCCCCAGGCCAGCAGGGCTGGTTGCTTCCCGTGTGCATGCAGAAGGTGTAAAGCAGCAGCGGCTGCTGTTGAGGTGCTTCAGCGTTTCCATTTCCCCCGCCCTCCCCTGTCCCCCCCTCTGAGTCCCCAGTGTCCCATCCTCCTGGCCCTGGCTCAAGGCAGACATCCCCCGCTTCGCGCAATCTCCCTTTTAAGTGCTCGTGACTCCCTGGGCCTGTGAGGAGATAGCTATTATTTACAAAATGATGGAGTGCTATTTTTACTTGCTTCTTGGAAGCACTAGGAGCAGTAGCAGAACTGGAATACAAATTACGCTGCCTCGCTGCCTCTTCCCTCGCTGGCTGTAGATTGTAGGGCTGCCTCTACAAGTGATTATGGGAGGCGGGGGGCACAGGGGGCTAAGGAGGCTCTTATTAAACATCCCGCTGCACTCATCAAGCGCTGTTTATTTAAGAATCTCAGCCATAATATAATCGACTCGGACGGGTTGTGTTTCAGCTCTTGAGGTTTGCGGATGTGCTGAACACAGTCACGTTTTCCAGGCGGGGGTTCCCAGAGGCTATGCCGCAAGCTAGCAGAAATGATGTGTCTGCATCCGAGCGCTGGAGGCTCCCAAACGATGTGTACTACTAAAACAGGAGCGAAGCCACTGCGGCTTCGTGCAGGGGATTCCTGGCTGCTGCACTGACGTCAGGGAGGCTGCGCAGCCTTAACTCAGAGATAAGCTAGATGAGCGAGGGCATGGGGACCTCCTCGGGGCCGTGCTCCACGTAGCAGTGCTCCGTCTCTGCCCCAGGGCTGTGCTGGGACCTAAGGGAGCTCAGAGGCAGCAAGCCCATCTCTACTGGTGTTTCTGTGTGTGATGGTATGGCTGAGACTAGAAAGGAGGACAGTGCTGTTCAGGCTTTTCTGCACTCAGGGATACAAACCCTCAGTCTGCTCCAGGCCAGCTCCTGGAGGTAGATGTTTCTGCAATGGGCTCCCTGTGAACTGCTCTGAACTCCAGCCAGCCCAATATCCCATCTCCAGCTGTGATCACAACCTAAAAAGAGCAGTGACAAGCTGATAATACCCCTTAACACCCTCCTAGACTGCAACAGCATTTAGCCTCAGCTCAGGAGTTTCTCAGCTTGATGAGGTCCCCTTATTCAGTGATCTTCCAAGGACCTGTCCAGTGTTCCCTCAAATACACCAAATCATTTGGGAAGGACTCCCACCAGCTTGTGGTGACGGCAGAGTCACCACAACAATGTTGTGTAGC